CATCCATCCATCCATCCATCCATCCATCCATCCATCCATCCATCCATCCATCCATCATCTTCCTCTTGTTCTGGACTCAGGTCTTGGGGGCAGCATCTTGATCATGGAGGTCCAGCCATCTCTCTCCACAGCCACCTTTTCCAGTTCTTCTGGGAGGACTCCAAGGTGTTCCCAGACCAAATGAGGGTCTCTCCAGTGTGTACTGGGTCTTCCCCGGGGTCTCCTCCCAGTCAGACATGCCCGAAGCACCTCCCTAGGGAGGCACCCAGGGAGCATCCTTACCAGATGCCTGAACCACCTCCACTGGCTCCTCTGGGTGTGGAGGAGCAGCGTTGTGTTGAAGAGGGAGCTGAGCTGTAAGGTGAAGCTCTCTGTTGATTGGTCTACGTTCCTGCCCTCACTTATGGTCATGAGCTCTGGTAGAGACTGACAGAACACTTTTTAATTAAACTCAGTTCAGTTTGTTTTTAAAGCTCCAAGTCACAACAGAAGTCGTCTCAGGGACTGAACAGAAACATCCAAACATTATAAAAGACAGTTATTAAAGTTCTCTCTTTGAGGAAGCAGCACATTGTGTTGAATCTTCACTTCATCAGTCTCCCATCCTGAGCAAACACAAAGGAGACAGTGGAAAGGAAAAACTCCCTGTAACAGGAAGAAACCTCCAGCAGAACCAGGCTCAGGACGAGCGGCCATCTGCTTCAACTGACTGGTTTGAGAGGACAGGAAGTAGAACTAGAGACAGAACGACAGGTCCAGGTGTGGTTTCTATAGGAGGAGACAAAAACATGTTAAGATAGAAATAATTATAAACATGTAGAGCAAGTAAAGACAGCAGAGAGGACATGTAGTCAGTTTGTCCTTCAGCAGTCTAAGCCTATAGCAGCACAACTAAGGGATAGCTCAAGAAACCCAAGCCGACTTTCAAAAATGTACGTGGAAATTTTTCACTCAGAACAGTTCAAATGATCGCAGCGTCTCAGATCATGTCAAAAGCTCTAATTCTGTATTTTGAACCCAAACATAAGACATTATCTTCCAAACTTGGTCTCCCACGGCTGCTTGGATGCAGACATTCAAAGTTCAGTAAAAAAGTTTGCATCATGTTTTGAAAGTCTGGCTGAAGTTTGTCTCGTGCAGCTGCAGGAGAACAGTCTCCACCATGTGACTAGACGAGCTGCTCGGGGAAGTCATGATGTTTTGATGTGAAATATCTCGTGTTCTTTGCTCCTCAGTCGTGGTGCAGGAGCTGCAGTCGAAGAGACCTTACGACGGCTTCTGCGCCTTCTTCTCCGTCACCCACGACATCGCCATCATCGTGCTGTACTGCCTGCTCTTCTTCCCGGTGCTCTCTCTGTTCATCTACATCTACCTGGACATCTTGAAGATCGCCTGCAGCCACCAGAAGCAGATCTCTCAAATTCAACAAGCCAGCTCCCGGAGCGACGACCAACATCTGGGTCCTCACCAGTACCAGCACTTTCAGCTGAGGAGTGGCTACTGGAGCCACGTCAAGGCCTTGAGGCTGGTTGCAGTGCTTGTTGGATGCTTCTTAGTCCTCTGGTGTCCTTTCTTTGTGGTGTGCATCGTGCACATTCTGTGCAAGAAGTGTGGACTCAAGGAAGTGCTGGAGAACTATCTGTGGCTGCTGGGGCTCTCCAACTCACTGATAAACCCTCTGGTTTATGCTTTCTGGCAAAGAGAGGTGCGGCTGCAGCTGGCAGACATGTTTTCCTGCATCAGCGGCAGGTTGCTGGCTGCTGGACCTCCGAGTGTGACGGAACGATGCCACCAGCTGCCTCCTCTCCAAACCCGAGCTTGTGTTTCTGAAGGAGACACCCCCAGCCCCTCCATGGTGCAGCCAGTTAGCAGCTCCAAGGCTCACGGTGTGTCGCTGTCAGACACAACCAGCTTCTAAAGACAAAACTACAGATTATCAAGAACGTGCACGAAGCCTTGACTGAAAACCTTTGGATGAATTCACAGGATTTCCTGGATGACTGTGAATCTACTTCCTGTTTGACAAACTGATGTAAAAATGATGACGTCAATAAATATGATGCAGTGGGAAACCAGTGTGCATCCCACAGAGCCATGTTCAAAACTCACCCATCCATTCATCCATCCTCTATACATCCATCAATCATCCATCCATCCATCCTTCATCCATCCATCTATCCATCCATCTTTTCTAATCCCTTCTAAGAATCTTGGTCTTACTTGAGTGATAAACCCGAGCTCCACAAAGCTAAACATTATTTTTAAAAGTTAACATGAATTTAGGATCTATAAGATTTGGATCATGACCAAAAAAACGAGGTACAAGCAGCAAAACTGAGCTTCCTTCGTATGGTGGCTGGAGGGTGGGGTGGGTGGGGGTCAGGATGAAGAAGTCAGCTGAGGTGGTTCATCTGATTAGGACGTCTTCTGGACACTTCCCTTTGGATGCTTTCTTGGCATCTTCTGCTGAACATCAAAGTTCTGCTCAGAGACTACATGAAGCTTAGAGAGCAACCATGACCAAAACAGTGACAGGAGAAAAGCATGCTGGGTAATATAAAAGCCTTGGACACAGAATCAGAGTCACTGGTTGCCATGGTGATCAGAGGAGAGGAGATCAGCTGGGAAATTCCTGACAAGAAGGATAATTATTACAAATTCAGGATTCATCCATCCATCATCACTTCATCATCACTTCATCAGCACGTCCTCATCACTACATCATCATTCATCATCATCACTTCATCATCACTACATCATCATTCATCATCATCACTTCATCATCACTACATCATCACTTCATCATTACTACGTCATTCACTTCATAATCACTTCATCATCACTTATATATTCACTTCATCATCATTACATCATCACTTAATC